TTGTATGAGATGACACAGCTGAACTCCTTGGAGCACTCAGAGCAGGAGGGAATTGACACGTAAGCGAGGCCTTTCTCACCGGGGTGGGAAGGAGTCCAGGGCAGGGGCAGGAGCTGGTGCTGCTGGCATGGAGGGGAGGAAACATTTCTCCAGAAAGTGGAAGAGGGTTCGGAGGATGCAGATAAGAGTGGCCTAAAGAGGAGGCCCCTGCGTTTCTCACCTTCAGAGGGGATGTTGGGAATGGAGGTCGTTTTGTGGAGAGGATGCTTCACATTGGACATGCTGCCTTTGATGTGACAGAGAACCCTGAGAGCAAATGCCAGCTCGAAAGTTGGAGGGCATAGTGCTCGGGTGAGTGCCCCAACCAGCAGACGTGTGTTCATTTACCTGAGAATGGCGCTGGTGGCTTTGGAAACCGATGCCTTTTCCAGGAGAGAAACTTTGAGTTGCAGACAAAGGCCCATGGACAAGAGGCAGAGAAAAGTGAGCCAAGGAAAAACATCCAGAGGGAAGTGGCAGTGACAGAAGGGGGACAAGAACGACGATGGCCTCTTTCCAAGGAATGAAGGTGGCTGTGGGACTGGGCAGGAGGACCCAGCCTGGCTCACGAGAGCTTCTGTTCTCAGCGGCATTGCAGCCTCTGTGCTGGGTGTGTGCACTCGCCAAGGTCCAGTTCCCTCGGACCTATGAAGTCCAGCTGTCAGCTTACATGTTCTGCTAGCACAGACCTAGAGATGCCCTTACATTTGAAGTCCTTAAATCTAGCTTCAAAAAGACTGGCTTTGCATGGATGAATTAGAGCATTTGGGAAGGTGGGAGGTGGGCTTGTGGCCCATCGTACGGGGCTTCAGGGACAAGGGCCATTAGCTCAGCGTTGAAACAGCATAGGCTCAGAGCAGAGGGGAGTCCCTCTGCTGTCCTCCAACGCCAGTCCATCCCCAAGCCCGTTCAGCAAGTGCACCTTCAAGACCAGCCGAAGGTGTATTATTTTACACAAGGGCAGCCTGCTCCTGCCCTTGAACTCTCTCGTGCCAGTTTGCTTTGGCTTAAAATCCCTGAAACTGTAGACCAAACCTTGGATTCTGTAATTATAGCAAATGTCCTTGAGTGTCAGTGCTTGGCGGGGTTCACGCACAGTGGGCAGAGTTCACGCGCGGTGAGCGGAGTTCACGCATCCATGTACACTGAACCTTGGGTTCCGTAATTATAGCAAGGGTTTTTGAGCATCAGTGTTTGGTGCGGGTCATGCACTATGGAGGAGTCTGCACCCAAGCACAGTCTTTTTTTTGGCGGGGTTGGGGGGACTATCTTTGGAGCAAGGTGAGAAAATTAAAAGCCAAGAAAGCTACGGGTTAGTGGATTTACAGAAGAGCCTATATCTAAAGTGAGAAAGGGAACAGAAAGAGGAGATAGGAATCTTGGCCAGGATGAACCAGGCCATGATATGGGGCAGCAGAGCAGGACGCAGTTGAGCCAGGGCAAGAGTGGCGTGGGGCATCGGGAGTCGGAGAGGCTTTGGGTGAAGGCCGTCAGGGTCTGCAGGATCTCTATGTGCATTTTACACGGAGAACTCCACACCCCTTCTCTTCATTTGAGATCCTTGGATTTTAATATAGCTTAGATTTAGATATTCCTACTTCTAATCATTTCAGACACCTTGACCCAGTTTAGTGAAGATCCTTCTCTCCTGGGCCTGTTCTGCATGGAGGCGTTTTGGGGTGCCGGTTCTGTTTCACTGTGCCATTGCCCGTACCGTCTGTCCTGAGTGACAGTATCAGTGAGATGATTGCACTGATGGCATTGAAATGACAGGGTTTTGGCCAGGCACGGTGGCTCATGCCTGTAATCCCAGCACTTTGGGAGGCCGAGGTGGGTGGATCACGGGGTCAGTATTTCGAGACCATCCTGGCTAACACGGTGATACCTCGTCTCTACTAAAATACGAATATTACCCAGGTGTGGTGGCACATGCCTGTAGTCCCAGCTACTCAGGAGGCTGAGGCAGGAGAATCACTTGAATCCAGGAGGCATAGGTCACAGTGGGCTGACATCACACCACTGCACTCCAGCCTGGGCGACAGAGCAAGACTCCGTCTCAAAAAAAAAAAAAAAAAGAAATGACAGCGTTTCTTTTGGGGATGAGGGGAGTGGTACCTCCCAGCCTCCACTGGTGGAATATACGGCGCCATTACAGAATTGGTCAGTGCAGGATGCAGGCTAAGAATGGAGGGAGTGGAACAGTGTTCAAAAGAGCATCTTGGTCTCCACTGGAATTAGGGCAAGATACAAGGGCTTCTTAAGACAGAAAGCTCCTGGAATTTGACCGTATTTCATGACCAAAGACAGATTTCAGTTGCCATGTCTCCGCAGGCTAAAAGTAGCATGATCTTGGAAAATTAATTTAGTCTCTGAGTCACCATTTCCTCAAGTGATAAAAGTATCATTTGCCGCTAATTAAACTGGAGATCATGTGTAACACTTAGAGATCTTCAATGGAGAAATCAGAATTAATTTCAGTTTTTAAATATATGCAAGCCTGACTGCCTCATTACTTTTATGGGAAACCCAGAAACAGAATGAATTAAAAGAAAATAAGGTCAGACAGCAACAGAAACCCATACAAATGAGCTGTTCTCTTGGGACTTCTTCAGGGGCCTGTGTTTAGTCCTTTTTGAGGGAGCTGAGGAAATGGAGGTGGGATAGTGAAGTGTGGGGATGACTCGGGGTGGGGAGACCCAGCAGGTGTCATTGAGGACACCGTTGAGGAAGGAGGCTGACATCAGAGAGGCAGAGAATTGTAGCAGTGTCAGACAGCTCAGGCTGCCACAGAGGGACAGCATGGTCCTCCCCATCCGAGGTCAGAGTATGGGGCTGTGGGGAAAGGGATTTGAGAAGAGGCCATTGCATTTGGGAGAGCAGAGTTTAGCTGGGGACCTTTGGTAATGGGGAGTACTTAGTTATTAATAATTGCCATGTACGTAGCTGGCTCATTTAATCTTCTCCTTATCTGTACCACATGGGTCCTATTACTGTCCTCAGTTTACAGCTGTCCACGATGCCCTAGGGTGGCTTGCAGAGGCTGAATAAGGACCCGCAACTAATGAGGAGTGGAGGCACCAGGCTTTGCCCCAGGCCCTTCTGATTCCAAAGCCGGGTCTCTCAAGAGCTGGCTGGGAGCTTGATTCTGCAGGTGGAGGGTAGTGAGACCGCAGGTACGAATGCGGGCCCAGGTGGAGAGGCGAAGTTGGGAAGCCAGACGCTGGGTGGGAAGTTTGGCTATAAAAGAGGAGAAAACCTGGTAACCCACTCAGGTCACAGGCAAGTGGTTTTTTTTTCCAGAAAGGGCAGACTTTTTTTTTTTTTTTTCCTTCAAGAATCAGGATCTTACTCTGTCACCCAGGCTGGAGTACAGTGGCATGATCATAGCTCACTGCATCCTCGAACTCCTGGGCTCAAGAGATCCTCCCACCACCTCAGTTTCCCAAGTATCTGAGACACGAGGCATGCACCACCACACCCGGCCAATGCTTTTAGTTTTTGTAGAGACAGGATCTTGCTCTGTTGCCCAGGCTGGTCTCAAACTCCTGGGCTGAAATGATCCTCCATCCTCCGCCTTCCAAAGTGCTGAGATTCCAGGGTGAGCCACCATGCTTGGCCCAAGAAAGGGCCGACTTCTTATTTAGAACTTGTAAAAGAGAAGAGGGCAAGATGCTGGGGAGAAAGGGTAGAAGTCGGGCCTCGTGGGGACGGATGTTCTGGGCCTGCCCTTACATCTGACCTTCAGGACATCTGGTAAGCCAGGCGGTGTATGGTTTCTTTAAAAACTGAGCTCCACGGTGAAGGGGTGCCTTTGAAGTCATGTTGATAAGGTGGGAGTTTGCCAGGTGGGATTAGGAAGGGGGGAGGTTATTTCCCCTCCTTCCGTCAGTGACTTTTTGAGGATTCTGGGGGGATCGATTCCAAGCAGTGTGTAAATAAGCTGAATAGAACACCCACCACGTTTCAGAGCCGACCACTCTTGACTTCGCCAAGCCCAGCCGCATCTACTTGCATGAACCTCTGCTTCCAGTCCTGTGTTCCCTCTGCTCTCCACCCTCTTCTTCCGCTGTGGATCCCTTGGGTGTCGTCATGTGTGGCTTTTGTCCGATGTGATCGCTGTCATAGCAGCGGACGCAAGCTTCCCTTGAGTGCTGAATGTCAGCAGGCACCTCAGGGCTGGCTTTGGCAGAGCTGCTTCCTACCCTCTAAGGGAATGGAGGGTTCTGATTCACTTGGAAAAAGGCACACGTTAAGAGCCCCAGTAAGGGAAAAGAATTTGTTCTCATTATTTCATCAGTGTGCACGTGCAGCGTCTTGGGCTGGATGGGATATTCGGCCACCTGAAGGGCATTTATGTAAGGCCATTGCGTGGGGCTGGCCGGCTGGGCTCAGGCCAGGGTTAGGCCCTTGTGCTCAGCCAGCCATCCAGTGCAGGGCACTCAGGTGGCCACAGGCCATGGCAAAACTTACCTGCAGGGAATTTATCCACAACTTCCTCTGGGCTCCTGTTCTTGGGCCAATCATTGAGGCAGAGCTTTTCCTAAGAAATAATTATGAAAGAGGTGGCATGATTCCTTCCATAGGAGAAAGCCAGGCCTTGATTCTTTTGAGCACGAGGGGGAGAATGTGGAATCCCTGCAGTGCACACTTTACAGAGACAGCGATGCCGCTCTGTGTAACCCCACAGCTATTGTCTGCAGGTGGAAGCATTTCCTAAAGGCAAGCCAGATGGGCCGGTACCATTTCCTTGCTGTGAACTAGAAGGAGCTGTGTGCCCAGCAGTGTACCCTGTGCAGATATGTGCTTTCACACAGGCCAGTTTAAAGAAGCAGGAATGAATGCGTTCAGCAGCTGAGCGTGAGTGACACTAGCATTGAAAAGGAGGCAGAGGGGAGAATTTCAGCTGAGAGGAGGGAGGGAAAGGAAGTGTTCTCAATTCTTTTTTCTCTTCTTCTTCCTAGCAAGAACCAGTTGAGTCATCTCTGGGGCTTAGTAATGGAGTAAGTGATCTTTCTCCCGAGTATGCGGTCCTGGCTTCAGCTATAAAAAATGAAGTGGATAGTACGGTGAACATCATAGGTAAACTGTTTTGACATCTCATTTTTTATACATACGAGCAGCCCCCCGGGGCCTAAAATTTGTACAACAGTGAACGTCAAATAATATAGTCAGTGGGAGGAGGTCTTGGAATCATCTCAGAATGCAAGTTCCAGCCCCCAGATTTCCAGGCTGAGAAATGCAGGCTTTTGAGGATCAGATGATTAGACGGGTCAGTCTCAGTGGAAGAAGGCCGGGGTGACCTCCCAGGAGAAATGTTAGTTTCCCAGCGGCTCGTGGCTAGCGATCCCAGTCTTTCGCTGTTTGGTCACATGGACAAAAGAGTATTTATTTAACTTGGGAACCAAGGAGAGGAAAGATTGTCCTCACGAGTCCTCTCAGCAACTGCTTCCTGGCAGACAGAGAAACTGAGGCACAGAGACATGTTGCCAAAGGGCCCACTCTAATTCAGCAGATACTTTTGAGCACCTTCTGTATATCAGACTCAGTACGAGAAGCAGAAGATAGTTGGAGCAGGAGGAAAACAGTGAACAAAGACACCCATAGATTGCTGCAGCGTTGCCGTTTGTGGCAAATACTGCAAAAGAAAAGAAAGGAGAGAGAAAAACCAAGGACCCAAGTTTAGATCGGAGGTCTCAGAGGAGCAGTGCTTTCCCTCCTTTGTAACACTTGAACTGCCTCCAGAGGTCACTGGCCATGCCCACCCCCGAGGAGGGCAGTGTCTTTACACTGAAGAGATGTGTAATTCCTTCTCACTTGTGTGGACAAATGCACAGGTGTAGTGCCCAGAGACCTCACCCTGCTTTCCCTTTAAGGGGAAGGAGGAGAAAAAGAAGTCCTGGTTATTTTTACTTTGTTTCAGCATTGAGTTTTCGTTGTATGTGTGGAGACTTCTGTTTTTAGGAAACAGAAGAAGCCAGCAGCATGCCGGATTGTCCTGACGACTCCGCTGGCCTCTTGCCGAGCTCAGCAGTGCATTTTGGTATTGAAACCACCTCCCGGGCAGTGTAGAAAGTTTGCAGGTGCAGACATCCTGCCTGACTGGCCGAGGCAGTGTTCTAGAACCCTGGTGTGTTTCTTGATAAAACACAGCCCCACCCTTCAATAAAGCAAATACTGCTACGAAACCAGACTAGGCATATGACAATTAGGAAGTCAGGGCGTTGGGATTTTTGTCTGAATTCTGGCTGCCCGAAATGCCCCTTAGAGGACATTGTTTTTTGGTGATTTTTCCAGATTTGCCTGTCTTTATCTGCAGTGAAGCTCAAGCAGCTTTTCAAGGCAAGTCTGTCAACCCATGTACCCACCCGGGATCCCGGAGGCGCAGGAGAGCGGGTTCCCAGCTCACAGACCAGCGTTAGGGTCCCCCCAAGGGCCTCCCGGTCAAACGCAAGCTTGGCAGACTCTGGCCCCAGCACTTGCTGTGGTTTCAGGATGGCCAGAGGTGACACAGGCTGTGGAACTGGGTCTTCATCTCTTCCCATATCCTTTGTTTCCCCTTCTTTTTGCCATATTTTCTTGTGCTTCAGATAGACACTTAGAAGATAAAAAGTAGCTCTGGGGCGAGTCTGTAGATGGAGGGCACCCCGTCTTAAGAGATCACTCATGCTGTCAGCCATGGCCCGTGCCGTCTTCCTGGAAGCTGAGCTATTCACCCCTTAGAAGGGACCCAGCACAAGGCATTCAGTTTCATCCACACCCTTGGAACGCTGTTAGCAAGATGAAACTCTCTATGAGGTGTGAACTGTTGCATCGCAATCTACCCAGACACAGAAGCCATGACAGACTTTATTCTCGGCTCTCTTGGACCTGGAGCGCCTGGCACTGAGGTGAGACTGTGGGGCCGCTCCTCAGTCACCAGGTGCCGACGGGGAGACCTGGGCAGTGGAGTTGAGCTGCTGCGTCTTCAGCCATAAGAAGTTTTTATTTATTCAAGAAAGCTGTCATCTTTCTGTGAGGCTGTATGCTACTTTCTCCTTCCCCCATCCCTTGCTGCCGCGACCTCATTTATTATTACCTGTCAGCTCCTCCAGTCTTCCCTCACCATTCTTCTCAAGCCCATCCCCTTCTGTTTCTGATACTGTGTCTGGTCCAGCCGTGGCTGTCACCTGGGCTCTGCTTCCATTCTGCCCTCCCATGATTCATCTCACAGAGTAAAGAATGCCAGTGTCATCATGTCACCACTGCCCCCAAGAGAAAGACTTGAGTTCCCCCAGGGCCCTGGGTCTGGCATGACCTGAGCCCTGCTCTTTCTTACCTGTCTTTGAGCTTGAATTACTCTGAAAGAGTTAAGCTCCCTATGGCTGCTCGTAGAGACAGTGAGGTTGGTGATGGGTCTCCTTACTGTGACGTGGCTGCAGAGGCTCTGTCCCCAGGCACAGTGGGGAGGGGACCTGTGGCAGTTCCAGCAGGAAGTGTAGCTCCAGCTCAACACATCCCATCCACAGTTCCACTCCCATAGCGCTGAGACACTGGTCAGCTCTACCAAGTGTTCCCTGGAATGCATGCTGTGCTTCACTTTGTGTGGTAGCCTGAGATGCTGTCTTCTCGTGGGCTGTAAGGTGCACGCTGCCCCACCCCACTCCTGCCTCCTCCTGCACTCTGTCACCCTGGTGAGGTTCGTGCAGTCTGCAGTCGAGGGCAGCCTGGTCCAGGCACCTACAGACCTCTGTCTCTGACTCACTGCTCCCACCATGACTCTCAAGTGCCTAAACCAAATCATGGCTGTATTTTATACCGAAAGAGCATGAGAAGAGCACGAGATTAGAAGTCAAAAGACAAAGGTTCTAGACCTAGTTCTGAAGTTTTTTATTGACCATGTGACTCTGGGGAAACTCCTTAATTTTTTGAAATTCAATTTCTATATAGATTGGAAATAGTATACAATTATTTATAAAACGGAAATATTTAAAATTTAAAATTCTATAGAAAATGGATAATCATACTTTTCCAGCCCATCTCACAGAGTTACTGTGAGGATCAGATGAAATGTACAGATAAACTTCTCTGGGGCCAGAAGGGGGTAAAATGATATGTTATGATTATGATATTACCAAAATCATATTAAAATATATTTGATTAAGAGAAATAGCCTCCATCTGTGCTGTGTCATCAGGGGGGCTGTGAAGTTTAACTACTGATGGGGTCAGGGAAATTTCCCCATCTGATGCCCTGCTGATGGCCTGATTTTATATGCCTGCTAATAAGTTTCATTCTTGACTCTGCAGCTGCCTGGGTGACCTTAGCAATTTACCTGACCTCTAGGTTTCAGCTTTTTTCAACTGTAAAACGAGAGGACCAAACCACCTCCAAGGACCCCTCTGTTTCTAATAATCTGCTTTTAAGCACTTTCTCTGAGGTGTGGAGCGAGCTGCCTTCTCAGGTGGAGACCTACATTAAGTCAACAATTGCTAATAAAGTAAGAATGACCTTTGAAGGAATCAAACCGGTTGATCAGTAACCAGCCGTAAATAATATTGTTATAATTCTCAGCAGCTAGATTCAGATAAAATTGCATTCCTTTGGGTGACTCTTTTCAGATGTGCTGACTTTAATAAACTGGATAAAGTTAGTGGATTTCTAGTTGTTCTGTTTGAGAATTTCCCTGGCATGCAATAGAGAACTGTTGAAAAGAAATGTCACTATTAGTTATGAGCCCGAAGACTCTCACTAAGGTGAGATTCAAAAGTTTTTATCCTGAGAGGGGCTACGAAAGCCAACAGTAGCTCGGCTTGGACTTCATTAACTCTCTCTGTTAGGGAGACCTTAGTATAAAGAGTTGAAATTTGGAGTTGGGTAAGGCTAACCTTGAATCCCGGTTCTGCTGCTGATTGGCTGTCTGCCCTTGAATTATTTACGTAGTTCTGTCTGGTACGGTCGTTTCAGCATGTCCAGATTGGGGATCGCTATTGTGCCTTCCTCATGGGTTGTGAGGTCTTGGGAGGTGGTAGGGAGAGGCAGAGCTGAGTTCTCAGGAAGTTAGGTTTTGTCATTAACATCAGTCAGGACACTCTTTTGTACCCAGAGGAGTGCCACTTCTGACCTTATTTGCTGTAGCAGGTAAGTTTGTTATGCATGTGTCTTTTCAGCTGTCAGGAGTCAGTGTTGCTGTCTGCTTTGTCACTTGGTGGTTCAGGGAAATCAGTTCACATGGCATGTGAGAGAGAGAGAGAGAGAGAGACAGAGAGAAACAGACTGGTTAGTGGTGGTGCCGACGCGCATCTAGAGAGCATTTCGATACTGGGATTTCCCTGCTTCTCTGACGGGCATTCACTCGAGAGTTGGAAAGTTTCTAAAGTACCCACAATGTTTGGATGGAGAGAAGCCATTATCCTTTACCGAGGCATGAAACAACACACTCCTATGGGGGAATTTGGCCTGATAAGTAACACATTAACTTGGTATCCAGATCATTGCCCAGAAAACAAAGACTGACTTTTCTGTCCTGGGCACCCGCATTCAGGATACACCTAAAATCTGCATGGACATGCTTATCTACTTTTCCCCCCAAGTCATGTATATTAAGTGAAATACGGTAAAATTCACCCCTTTTTAAGGGGCGAATACAGTTCTATAAATGTTGATGGATGCACTCACTGGTTTAACTGCCACCATACTGAAGACAGAGTTTTCATCACCCCGACACGTTTTCTCCCTGGCCCCCAGCCCTAGCACCAACTATCTGCTGTCTTTATCACTTCCTGTAGGTTTCAAGAGTCCACTTGCCAGAAGTCTTGACATTTTCTGGAAAACATTGTCACGTCCCATATTTGCAGATTGTCACAAACCCCTGTGGGACTCAACTCTGGCTTCAGTCAGTGAGCCTTGGCCCCTTCACCTGTCCATGTATTCAGCAGAGAGTCCCTGAGCACCTGTCTGATGGGTGCTGTGAGCGTGTTCATACTTCGGTTGAGGAGAGATGCTGTTGACCCATTCAGAGCTCCTTACAGGTATATAGAGTCAATTGGCAACACGAGGCCGGAAGTCCAGAAGTGTCCCGAGGTCTCTTCCCATTGTAATTTCGGCTGAGCGATGGGGACAGTGAGTGAGAGGCACCCAGGGGAGAGAGGTCGATCTGTGCCAGGGGGTCAGGAAGGGGCTCCAGAAGGCAGGGGCATCGTGAATGCTGCCTGTTTCTCAACCCCCACCCCCATCCCCCTGCCTCATTGAAGCCTTTGATTCCTCAAACTGGAAAAAACCACTGCCCTTCTTCAGCTTCCATCACATGGCCCCCTTCTTTTTCTTTTCTTTCTTTTCATGTGTTCATGGCCTTAAACTTACTCTCTAGATGGTTAGTCGCTGGCCTATAGCCATGAAAATGAACTTCTTACACACTGGATTCTTGGCTGCATTGACCTTCGGCTGCTCCTCCTAGCCCTGGGTGGCAAAGTCTGGTGCAGAACACGTGTTCTATGAATCTTTGTTAGTTGAATAACTGACTTGGGCTTCATGGGGAAAAGCAGTGAGAGAAAGAATTTCCGGTTGGAACAAAGGGATCTAATAGGGGGATGCTGGAGTTGCTGGCACTGTCGGTAGTCCCAGCTAGCTCACTGTCTTTCTATCAGGAGCGACATGCAAAGGAGAGATGGGTTTTGAAGTACTGGAAGTTTAAATGGCTTTGACTTAAATCAAACCTATTCAAGACCTTCATTGCATGCAAGGTATCACTGTGCCCTCCCTCCTCAAACACACACACCCCATTTGGTTTCTGCCTCCCGGCAGCTGCTTCTTAGGACCTGGGGTAGGGGAGGACATTATCTCGTTTTCCTGCCATTTTATTTTACTTGGCGGGAAGAGGCAGAAGAAACTTGAGATGAGGGAGGTCAGTGTTGGTCAGCGTCAGTCTGTTTCCAGTGACATGCATAATTGGTGTCCTTATCCTCAAATAGGATATTCCAAAGGATGAAATAAACGGGCTTGGGGGTCTGCCTGCCATATAGAGCCTGGCTGCCTTTTCTTTAATTTTATCCCTTCCAGGAAAACCTAAACGGGATCCGGTTTCCCTTGCATTCCGTATGTTGTGGCTTTTGGACTCTTTTATCACAGCCCCAAATCCCCTTTCTGAGACTTTTTTGTGCCTTTCCTTTCTTTATTAAGGGACCTATGAATTGCCACTGCCCTCTAGAACCTTCCCAGTGTAGAAATCAGATAATGCGCTTATCGCTCCACAAAAGGCAATTAAAACAGGAACTTGTTTGTAAACAAAAATACTTCAGAAAATAAAATACTTGGAGTGATTAAAACAGGAGCTTCTCCATGACGCCTGGCGTCTCAAGGAGACTGGAATGCTGCCCCTTCCTGCCTAACCTGAGTACTTTGCCGATTGGTGAGAAAATGACAGGGACATAGAACACCACACATACTCCAAGCTGTGTGAGTTTGGACAAGTCACTCTCCCTCTCTGTGCCTGAGTTTCTTCATCTAAAACAGGATAACCATGTGTTCTCTGTCATTTTTACGGGTTAAAATGTTAAAATAAATGAAATTCCCAAGGTCCTTATTTCTTTACCTTTATTTATTGAAGCTAGTTTTCAGGGACGTTTCCTCCAACCAACAGCCATATGAGGTCAGTTCTGTTTAAAATTAGGGCAGGACCTTAGGGACCTTCAGATTAAAATTGCAGTGAAATATCATTACTTACCGATGAGAATGGCCAAAATAAATAAACAGTGACAACGCGAAATGCTGCTGAGGCTATGAAGAAATTTGATTACTCAGACATTGCTGGTGGGAAGGTAAAATGGCACGGTCACTCTGGGAAGCAGTTTGGCAATTTCTTGTAAAATTAAACATGAAATCATCGTATGACTCAGCAGTTGCATTCTTGGGCATTTGTCCCAGAGAAACGAAACTTATGTGCATAAACAACCTGAACACAAACATTCATAGCAGTCTTATTTGTAATAATCAAAGGCTGGAATCAGCCCAGACATGCCTCAGTGGGAGAATAAACACATTGGTATATCCATACTGTGGAATACTACTCAGCAATAGAAAAGGAAGCAGTGACTGATACACACAACTTGGGGGACTCTGCAGCGAATTATGCTGAGTTAAAAAAAAAAGCTAACCCTGGCCAGGCGCGGGGGCTCATTCCTGTAATCCCAGCACTTTAGGAGGCCGAGGCAGGCAGATCATGAGGTTAGGAGCTCGAGACCAGGCTGGCCAACGTGGTAAAACCCCGTCTCTACTAAAAATACAAAAATTAGCTGGGTGTGGTGGTGCGTGCCTGTAATCCCAGCTACTCAGGAGGCTGAGGCTTGAGAATCACTTAAACCCAGAAGATGGAGGTTGTAGTGAGCCAAGATTGAGCCACTGCACTCCAGCCTGGCAACATAACGAGACTCTGTCTCAAAAAAAAAAAAAAAAAGCCAACCCCTACAGGTTACTGTACGAGTCCATTAATGTAATATCCTTGAAATTAACAAGTAATAGAAATAGGGAACAGATTCATAGTTGCCCAGGGGTTATGGACGAAGAGATGGACAGGGAGGTACTGAAGGAAGGTGGCTGCGGTTACAAAGTAACGTGAGAGAGATTGGTGGTGATGGAACTGTGTGGTATTTGACAGTGGTGGCAGGTACATGAAACTTCATTTGTGATAAAATTGCACTTAGTCCTAGTGCAAGCACACTCACACAAAAGAGTGCAAGTGAAACAGGAAATCGGAATAAGATGGGGGTTGTTATTGATGTCAATACCCTGGTTGTGATATTGTATTCTAGCTTTGCAAGATAAAACCATTGGAAGAAAATTAGTAAAAGGCACACAGGATCCCAGTATTATTTCTTAGAACTGTATGTGAGTTTACCGTGATCTCAAAATAAATAATATAATAAAACAAATTGAGGCAGGTTTCAGAGCCAGGGTGGTCAGATTCCATCCTTTCAGTGTTCTGGGAGCTGGTGCTACTAATGTTTGCTGGAATTGGAGGGCTGAGTCTATTGCATTGTGCTGAGATTTCAGCCAGCCGGCAGGGCAGGAAGAGAGCTAGGAGTGTGCGCAGAGCTCCCCACAGCTAGATGCAACACAGTTGGGGGGATTTTCATGGTCCTTCCTCCTTAGTAAGGTTTGATAATGTCTCTCTGGATCATAGAACCCAGAAAATAAGCACAGTACCTTCTTTTCGAGCAAAAGCAGGGAGCAGAAATTGGTCAGGTTCAAAGTCTTGTCCTTTCTGCCCCTGGGGCTGGATGCCGCCTCTGGTCCTGAGGCCTTGGCTGTGACGGGGTTGAGTGTGGAATTCTGCAGAGCTGGTAGGACATGGCCACCTGTGTGTGCCATTGGCAGACATGTTGGAGACAGACCTGGGGAGCCAGGTGTTGGCCTGGAGACATCACCCCAGAGCTACAGAACTCAGGCTTGTTCTTCAGCCCCATGGCAGGGGACAGGTGGGGAAGGGAGCCTGGCGATCTGCCTCTGTTGGGAAAGGCCTTCTTTCCTTTCTCATAGCACACTTATGAGAAAGTGTGCTAGAATTGTTAGGTCAGGAGACTTGGCATGATGACTCTTTTCTTCTCTGAAGTCGTAGGACAATCCCATCTGGACGGCAACATCGAGGATCAAGAGATTGTCACCAACCCGCCGGACATTTGCCAAGTTGTAGAGGTGACCACTGAGAGCGACGAGCAGCCGGCCAGCATGAGCGAGCTGTACCCTCTGCAGATCTCACCCGTGTCTTCCTACGCGGGTAAGCGGCAGGAGGGGGCTCCAGGACGCCTGGGAACAGGCCGCGGGGTCCTCTGGTCTAGCGGCAGGAGGGGGCTCCAGGACGCCTGGGAACCAGCCGCGCGGTCCTCTGGTCTAGCGGCAGGAGGGGACTCCAGGACGCCTGGGAACCGGCCGCGCGGTCCTCTGGTCTAGCGGCAGGGCGGGGCTCCAGGACCCCTGGGAACAGGCCGCACGGGCGGGGCTCCAGGATGCCTGGGAACCTGCCGCGGGGTCCTCTGGTCTAGCTCGGGGCTCCAGGATGCCTGGGAACTGGCCGCGGGGTCCTCTGGTCTAGCTCGGGGCTCCAGGACGCCTGGGAACCAGCCGCGCGGTCCTCTGGTCTGGGGTCTCCCCTCTCACCACCCCTTGGAGCGTAGGATTCCTCTGTCCTCGCAGTTGTTCTTCCTGGAATGTTTCATACTTTAATTTCTTGGTAATCAACATCTTCGTGGACACTTTCGTTTGCAGTTACAGGACAGGATCAGGATCACAACATTTCTTCACTAAGTCACCCATTATGTTGTTGTTTTTTTTCTTGATACAGAGTCTTGCTCTCTTGCCCAGGCTGGAGTGCAGTGGGATGATCTCAGCCCACAGCAACCTCTGTCTTCTGGGTTCGAGTGATTCTCTTGCCTCAGCCTTCTAAGTAGCTGGGGTTACAGGGGCGCACTACCATGCCAGCTAGGTTTTGTATTTTCAGTAGAGACCGGGTTCTACTGAACCCTGGCCATGTTGGCCAGGCCCGTCTCAAACTCCTGACCTCTGGTGATCCAGCCACCTTGGTCTCCCAAAGTGCTGGGATTTCAGACGTGAACCATGGTGCCCGCCTCCCATAACACTTTTATGTATGGTTAACAGACGAGATTTCTCTGGAGCAGCGGTTCATCAGAGTCTAATTTATTTGCCCAAGTAGTCAGAAACTTGGCACAGTGTTTTAATGGATTCTCAATTTGAGCAGGCTGGATAGGACCTTAGAGATGATCTCTTCCGGTTCCTTCATTTCTCTGGACGGGAAGGGGCTTGCTGAATTGGAGGTCGTGCAGTCAGAAGCGTCTGGGCCAGGACTTGACCTCAACCTTCAGACCCCGAGCTCACTGCTGGACCCATTCCATTCCACCAAGCTGACTTGTCTCTTCCACGTATTTTCTCTTTCTTTTTCTATCTAGTACAGGTTCTAATCAGGCAAGATGACTGAGCCCATTTCCAGTTCCCCAGGGACTTGGCCACATAATGACAGGAGTCGGCCTGGCCAGTCATAGGAGGAGAAACAGATCCAGTGGGTTCTTCCATTCTTACAGAGTAAAAGCAGGGCCCCTCTTGTTCACTGGCGTCACTTCCTCATCTTCTCCTCTCTTCCTGACGATCTCCAATAAATTTTGTAAAAATCAATCGTAATTAGGAAATATAAATTCTGAGTCGGTGTTATTGCTTGCAGATATTAAAAATAAAAAGCAGAGACCCCATGATAGGAAACTCCAGTTCAGCTCTAGTCAACAGCTCGGGGATTCTTCCCAGAGCTCTTTACGCGCTGCCAAATGGGTGTCCTCCAGCAGGTGCCACCCGCAAGACTGGCTCAGACCAGCGTTGGAATTAGAGTTGACTCAAAGGACCGGTTGCTTGTGAATTATCAGCTGCTAAATCTAATCTCATTTTCCCTGAACACCAACTTTTAAAAATTTTGGTAAAATACATTAACATAAAAATCACTATTTTAGCCATTTTTAAGTGCACAGTTTAGTAGCATTAAGTGCATGAATGTTGTACAGCTGTGACCAGCATCCATCTTCAGCACGTTTTTCATCTTGCAAAACTGACACTCTGTCCCCATGAAACACTAAGTCCCCTTTTCCCTCCTCTACCCTAGCCCTTGGCAACCTCTTACCTATTTTCCATCTCAATGAATATGGCTATTCTAGGTCCCTCGTGTGGGTGGAATCATAGTGCTTGTTGTTTTGTGACTGACTTATTGCACTTAGCATAGGTCCTGGTGTACATTTACACTAGCAACGTAAGTGAAATGTGAGAATAAACCTTGGCTACAGAAAGGTTCTAATCTGTCAGACAGGATAAGCTTGTCATCAGTGATTTATTCAGCAAATGCATTTTGAACTTTTTTTTTTTTTGAGACGGAGTCTCACTTTGTCACCCAGGCTGGAGGGCAGTGACACGATCTCCGCTCATTGCAACCTCCACCTCCCTGGTTTAAGCAATTCCCCTGCCTCAGCCTCCCAAGTGGCTGGGATTACAGGCGGGTGCCACCACGCACGACTAATTTTTTTGTATTTTTAGTAGAGACAGGGTTTCACCATGTTGGCTGGTCTTGAACTCCTGACCTCAGGCAGTTGCCTGCCTGGGCCTCCCAAAGTGCTGGGATTACAGGTGTGAGCCACTGCGCCCGGCCCACATTTTGAACTCATATGTGCCTTGCCAATATGCCGTCACAAGAACTACTATTCGTTGCAAGTTTATTGTGCCCTTGGAACCCTACTCAGTACTTGGGTGCAGTTGACTATTCGTTGTTATTTTTAATAGAAACAGGGTTCTGCCATGTTGCCCAGGCTGGTCTAGAACTCCTGGGCTCAAACAGTCTGCTCACCTTGGCCTCCCAAAGTGCTGGGGTTACAGGCATGAGCTGCCACACCTGGTATGATACAGCTGACTTGTGTAATTATAATTAGAGTAACCCTGTCAGCCTGGGCACCATCATTATCCCCATTTTAAAAGTGACAAATCTGGCCGGGCTCAGTGGTTCACGTCTATAATCCCAGCACTGGAAGGCCAAGGTAGGAGGATCGCTTGAGCCCAGGAATCGGAGACCAAGCCTGGGTGACGTAGTGAGACGCCACTTCTACAAAAAATAAAAAACGTTAGCTGGGCATGGTGGCATGTGCCTGTAGTCCCAGCTACTTGGGAGGCTGTGGCAGGAGCAACACTTGAGCCCAGGAGTTCAAGGCTTCAGTGAGCCCTGATTGCACCATTGCACTCCAGCCTGGGTGACAGAGCAAGATCCTGTCGTCAAAATATGTGTGTGTGTGTGTGTGTGTGTGTGTGTGTGTGTGTCTAGGGCTGACGTGGGTAAAGCAGTGTGTCTAACGCAGGAACAACGAGGAGCACAGCTAGAACCCGTGTGCAGTTGATGCCAAGGCCTGTCCTTACCCCCCCACCTGTGTTCTGCCCTGGACAGCTGCACGGGCTCTGCCATATTCAGAAAAGAGCCACATCCCGTGATCGCATTTGATTTTCACAAGGACACCAAAGGAGGCAGAGCAGAATGTTTATGCCTTAATTTTACAGTAGAGCTAACTGAAGCGTGAAACACTCAGCCACTTTGCTTATATTTACATAGTTTTGGCTAAAAATTCATGACTTTTCTTCTGGATCCCGCTACCGCAGGCCTCGTTGCACTCCATGTGGTTTTCTTTTTCTCTTCTTTTTTTAGGGGGTTGGAGCTTTAGAATAGACTCGCATGTTTATCTGTTGAGTAAGACTTTCCTGAGGTCTTTCTGGGGATTCTGGAAAGACCTCTTCTTCTTGCTGTTGTGCCAGCAGTGGCGTTTGCTCGAGCAAAAGAATCCGGAGAACAGCAGATCCATGCGGAGAGAGAAAAGTTCACGACTCCCTCCAGGACATTTGCATGGATTTGAAGGGCTTTCAGTGCCAGGATGGCAGTCCGCAGGAGGCTTTGCTGGAGCCTGGCTTTTCAGCCTGGCCTCTGGTTCTTTCCATTGTTTTCATTGTCTGGTTCTTCAGAACCTTGGCGAGGGAGGTTGACCGGATGGAGCCAAAATACTCCATCGCTGCTGCTTTTCTAGAGCTAAGAGTGATGTAAGAAATTTCCCTGTTACTGACTGTGGCTAATTTTAGTTCCTCAGTCAGAAATTGTGTAACATTCTGCCAGGAAAGGCAGCTTTCTGATTGTATTCACCTTTCCTGCTTCATATTCTCCAACAGAGTCGGCCGTTGCCCTGTTTTTCATGACAGAGTTCCTTTGTTTGGGCTTCTCATCTAAATTTCAACCTCCTCTGACCACCTTTATTCATCGGTTTGGGAAACTGGTGTTTAGGGGCTGCTGTTCGCTAGCTTTTCCCCCTACTGATCATTGAACTGTAATCCCAGTAGTATTACAAAGACACGTTGAGTTTTGCAAGTCTGTGGTCTAAGTATTATGGTGAGAAAGAGAAGAGACAGTAAAACTTTCATACTAGGGAGGGATGTTTCAAAGTGCCACTTTGGGAAGCTCTGGCAGAAAGCCATGTCGTTTAAAAAGGTCCATTCTAAAGTGGCCCCTTGCCTGATCTTTGGCACCAGGATTTTATTAGGCCATTGATGGTTTAGTAAAAGAAAGCCACAGTAGAATTATGGGGGAGGATGGGTAAGAGGGGGCTGGAGAGTAGACTTGAGAAGAAAGCAATCATCTGAAGGACTCACTGGCTGTAATGAGAGAGTAGAAATCGCCTGCTGACCAGCAGCCATCAGTAAAGCATCATCTGAAGGACTCACTTGCTATAATGAGAGAGTGGAGATTGCCTACTGACCAGCAGCCATCAGTAAAGCATCATCTGAAGGACTCACTGGCTATAATGAGAGAGTGGAGACCGCCAGCTGACCAGCAGCCTCAGTAAAGACTTTGAGTCCTTTAGGAAACCACACCAGGCTTGCATTTTGTTGGTTGGAGCGAAGACCCAATAACTTTGAGATTAAGAGGACGCCGGTTTGAAAATAATTTACCCCGGTGAAAGTAATTGAGAATAGGATCAATAAAAGAAATCCTTGTCAGTCTTCTTTTTTTTTTTTTTGAGACGGAGTTTCGCTCTTGTTACCCAGGCTGGGGTGCAAAGGCTCGACCTCGGCTCACTGCAACCTCCGCCTCCTGGGTTCAGGCAATTCTGCCTCAGCCTCCCGAGTAGCTGGGATTACAGGCACACGCCACCATGCCCAGCTAATTTTTTGTATTTTCAGTAGAGACGGGGTTTCACCATGTTGACCAGGATGGTCTCGATCTCTTGACCTTGTGATCCACCCGCCTCCGCCTCCCAAAGTGCTGGGATTACAGGTGTGAGCCACCGCGCCCGGCCTGTCAGTCTTCTTTAATCAAACTTCTTATACCAAGAGCCTTCCAGAAAGTGTAGCAGGATGTCAGACTGCAAAAAGGCTTTCAAATAAAATGTATCGTCTCCCTTCCCGCAGTGTCCCTGAGCTGGTTAGACAATAGGTCTATACTCAGAGAGGCATTCACATCTGGACTGGAGTAGTGACCTAACAACCAGCGTCACCCTAGAACTGGAAGAGCCTTTGAGATCATCTGATCCAAGTCCTCCCCTTCCGTCCCACCCCAGATGCTTTCAGGCAAACTGAGACCAGAAAGGTTAGGTGAATTACTCATGTGCCCGTCGGTACCGCGCAAACACCTTCAGTTATTCAGCCTTTTGGGAGTTGCAAATGCAGCAACTCCAGGCTTCTTTATTCCATCCTATTCGAAATAAGTAAAAAACAAAAACAAATCCAAACTAATCAAAAGGGAAAGTGGAATAACTTATGCTGATAGTCTGGCAGTAACACTGACCTGGGGGCGCGGCTGCAGGGAGCTTCCTCCTATAACAAGTCAGCGTGGAAGCCGCAATGGTGGAGTGAAACCAGGGGCACGGTGCACCCAACAAAACACTTTGAGCCACCGATTCCGGGGTCGCAGAGAGAATCGCTGCCCTCGGGGAGGTTTGGGGTTCTCTGCCCCTAAGCTAAGGTACTCAAGGCCCCTTTTGAAAGCCGTTAGCTTCCCATTATGGTGGGTCTTCCTAACTACTTCTGTGGAACTTGGAGCTGTGGAACTTGGTCTGGGCATGCCGCTCTTCAACTCACATTTGTGTCAGCTGAACACCTAAGATCAGAGCATGTGCATCTTTTCTTACCTGCAGCTATTTCCCTGAAGCTGAAAACTGGGTACCGAAAGGAGCTTAGCATTCCGGTCCCATTTATGGGCTGTGCAAGGTCTTACCCGGGAGCCTTACCCCAGGATCTGACCTCCAGCCCCTCCTGCACCTGAGACTCAGGCTGTGCTGGAATCTCAGCCCCCAAAGCATGCTTGGTGGAGGTTCTTTGTATTTGGAGGGGAAAGGAAAAGAAGACAGTGATATTTATGTAGGGTGATCAGGAGTGAAGGGCACCTGAACATGTATGAAAGGAAGTGGGACCTTGGCTTTGGAGCACAAAGCGTGAAGTGGAAAGGGATCCTGAAATTCCGTGAGCGGCCGGACAGCAGGGAAGCGGAGCTGCTGTGTGCAGCACACAGACCCTGGAACCAGAGCGGTTTGGTTTTCTCTCCTCTGTGCTGGCTCACTTGGCAGCTTCGGCAAGTTTCTCAACATCTCTGTCTCTCCCTTTTCTTCGTGGGCATGGCGGTCCCAATTCCTGCCTCCTTGGGATACTGAGCTAGCAGGAGGGTTTTGTGAGGAGGGAAATTTTCTTTTTCTGTTGCTTTTCGTACGTTTCTGCGTGGAAACAGTTCTTGTGCCCAGCAATGTTATGCACCTTTCCTTTAGATCACAGCTCGTCTCCATAGCTGGGATCACCGTCAGCTGAAGCTGAGGGACTCTCTGGGTATCTGAGGCTCCCAGCACAGGATGTTTTGGGGAAACATGCCCAGTCCGAGGAGTGGAGAGATCTGTCTTCTACCTGCTTATCGTCAGCCCTCTGCAAACACCCAGGCCTGTGTGAAGTCACTGGAGAACCGTGGCTGAGAAGCGGGCACAGAGACTCCAGGCTGGGACCAGTGCAGTCAACATTCTTGCTGTCTTTGTTTAAGGAATGCACTGGTGGCACAGTTTGTCCCCTTGTTTTTTAGCTTTTAATTGAGAGAGCCTGGTTTGGGGCTGATGCTGTCAGTGAAAGAAAGGGCTCTGTCTGGGCTGGACCCATCTCATCCCAGCTCTGCCACCAGGAAGATATGAGACAGAGGCCAGCCCCTCACCAAGGACGGGGTGGAAGGCTGGAAGGCACTAGAGCATAAGAGCTCTTCTGCATAACGGGGGATGAGAGCAGCTGCTTCCTGACTCAGGATCCCTGTGAGACCTGCATGCAAAGCCTCTGGCATGGCACTGACCCGTCGGGCTCCCTAAATGTTCACTACCTTTAGAACACAAGCTTTGCTTTTGGATATTCCCGTGTTGTGAAATATACATTACCTAAAATTTAGCAAACGTTTGGGTATGGGTTATAAAATTCCGCACTGGAACCGAATGGGAGGAAAGGCAGTTAACATGTTTCCACCAGGAAGAGAAGCTATTGCAGTTACTCTTTAGGCCTTGTCTGTAAAATCAAGGGCTCAAGCTGAGTGATCTCTAAATGCCTAAAGATCGCACAAGCTCTGTCCTCTGTGATTTCATTTCTCAGTGGTTATGGACACTGAAAACGTTGCACACCGTTGATATTTTATTTTACAAAATCAAAATGGTTTTACTTTTAAAAGCCTTTTTTTTAAGCATAGGTCATGTGTAATCACTAGACTTTGATTCCATTAATCCAGCCTGTTGTGCAAACCCAGTGTTAAGCAGTGCTTATATACGGAGTGTGTGCTGTGTGCCAGGCCCTTGCTAGGCCTTTTCCATCTACCCTCTCACTCCCTCTTCATGTCATCCTCTTAGCAGGTGGCCATGCCCTCATTTTACAGGGAAGAAAACTGTAGCTCAGTAAAGTTGAGAAACTTGCCCAGTGTCTCACAGCTGGCAGGCCAAATGGGGATGGTAACTGACTGGCTGCCATAACTGTGCAGCCACAAACTTAGAGGCTTGAAACAACACACATTTGGATCTGACAGTTTCTGTGAGTCAAGAATCCAGGCATGGCTTAGGTGGATCCTCTGCTGCAGAGTCTTGCAAACCTGCCATGGAGGTGTTGGCTGGGGCTGCTGTCTCATCTGAGGCTCAGCTGGGGAAGGGTTCATTTCCAGGCTCACATGGTTTTGGCAGAATTTCATTTCTTGCATGTTATTGGACCAAGGGCCTCAGTCTCATGCTGACTGTTGGCTGGAAGCAGTCCTCAGTTCTTTGCCATAGGAGCCTTCCCAACATGGCTGCTTGCTTCAGCAAGGCTCGCAAGGGAGAGCGTTTCCTCTCCCAACAGGTTTCTGTGTCCTGTAACATGATCATGAACACAGGATCACATCCATCCCATCCCCTTGGCTGTACCTTACTAGTTAGAAGCAGACATACATTTTACCCGCACTCAAGGGAGGCAGTCCCAAAGAAAGTGAACCCCAGGAGGTGAGGATCGTGGGGAGCACCCCAGATCTGTCCACCTGCAGTAACCTATATGGCAGATGCAACTCTAGAAATCCAGGATCTAAGTCCTATAGGGGTGAGAGGTAAAGGAAGGATCTGAGCAGGAGGGGGATGATGTGGGAGAACTTCTCAGAAACAGTCAACTCTGCATTGGGACTTAAATGAATCAGTTGGCCTGGGTTGGAAGAGAGGACCTGTGTGGGCATTGTGGACAGAGCTGCAGTGAGGAGGGCACCAGGGGTCAGCACCCCCTTATGGGAGGTATGCCCATTGTAGACACAGCCCAGCCCTGGCCAGGGGAGGCTCCTTGTAGCTCTCAAGCCTGCTTTCTCTGAAGATTACAGAGTTGATATTCACTCTAGCTTCTCCCATGTAGAATGTTTGACTTTACAAAGGGAGAGAGGTGATGCCTTTGGTTACTCAGTCCACTTTTGATAAACACTGCCCGAGGCTGGGGGCAGCTCAATGGACAAGAATGATGGCCCTGTGTTTTTCTCTCTGCCAACAGAAAGTGAAACGACTGACAGTGTGCCCAGCGATGAAGAGAGCACCGAGGTAAGCTGCCACCCTTCCTGCCCGCCTGCCCACCTGAGATGCTACCAGGGAAGAGCCTCCAGACCAGCTCTGGGCTTTCCTTGCTGCTGGTTACGCACCTTTCCTTTAGATCGCAAGCTTCACTTCGGGATTTTCTTGCGTGAAGAAATACACATCACCTAAAATTTACCGTGCTTTTAGGTTTGGGGTTATACAATTCAGTGTTGGAGCTGAATGGGAGGAAGGGGAGTTAAATGTTACCATCAGGTAGAGAAGCTGTGATGGCAGGAGAAGGGACTGGAAGTGGAGGCCAGGAAAGGCTGATACTCTTACCACTTAAACATCCAATTTCGCCGGCAAAACTAGAACAGCCTTCCCAGCCAAAAGCAGTGACCAGAAGTACACACCAGAAAATGCTAAGCAGAAGCCTCTTCCAGGTGTGCGTGGGCTCCCTCCCTCCGTGACCCATGTCCAGAGCTGCTTGTGCCCCATCTTCATTCCGAGTGGGCTCCTCCCCATCCTTCTCCCAGAGATGGGGTGTGCAGGACGAATGCAGATGGGAAGGGTTCCTGCTGGCCACCTGCCGGGGGTCTGTGCTTGCGTGGATGAGAGAGAGGGAGGGAGAAGGAGAGAGAAGCTCATGGTTTTTGGATCAGTAGTTTCCCATGAGCTAACGCTTTCAGGTAAAGTGCAGGCATTCTGAAAAGACAGATGTCACGCTCACATGCACCCTGGCCTGCTTTCTTCGAGGTTGCAGCTCTAGCCCCTTCTCTGAATGGAGCCAGCCTTTGAGGCTGCTGATGCTCTGTCCTGGGGAGCTCTGAGCCACCCCCATCTGAAAGCGATCAAGAGGCATTCGTTGCCTGTTGCTAAGTTCCTCACCGCCTTTTCTCTGAAGAAGCAGGTTGGCTCTGGTTGATTGGGCCAGCACTGAGGGACTGAGTCACTGTGTCACCCTGACCGTGGTAGCCTGGAACCTGTTGAATGATTGGGCCGAGCAGTCAGAAAGTAGGAGGACCAGGACCCAAGCTGCTGCCTTCTTTTCCTGCCTTTATAGAGTAGTCTGGATACCGTTTCTGGGAGGTAGCAAAGGAGAATTGATTTTTAAAACAAAGAAAAGGGAAGAAAAAGGAGTCCGACTAGCTGGGTATAATAGAGTTCCGTTGAGGGACATAAAGGTGCTAGCCTTTGTTCATTCTTCAGTTCTCAAAAAATTCAATTAAAGCAGCAATGCATGGGAACAGTGGTACATTTTTATTTTTTCAGTTTTATTTGTGGGTTGTTGCTTTGAGACAAGGGCTCATTCTGTTGCCCAGGCTGGAGTGCAGTGGTGCGGTCACAGCTCACTGAAGCCTTGGCATCCTGGGCTCCAGTGTTCCTCCCGCCTCAGCCTCCTGAGTGGCCGGGGCTACAGGTATGCACCTCCATGCCCAGCTAATTCTTCCTTTTTGTAGAGTTCAGGACTCACTACATTGCCCAAGCTGGTCTCAAACTCCTGCGCTTAGGTGATCCTCCAGCCTCAGCCTCCCAAAGTGCTGGGATGACAGGCATGAGCCACGCCACACCTGGCGAGTGATGCATTTTTTAAAAAGCCATCCAATAGAAGGAGAAGGAAATACATATCTTAACTAACTTTCTTTAAAGGGGCGGCCACACTGGCGGAAGAGAAATATTGAAGGCAAACAGTACCTCAGCAACATGGGGATGCGAGGCCCCTACCAGCTGCCAGGGATGGCAAGCTTCGTCACTTCCAGCAAACCGGACCTCCAGGTCACCATCAAAGATGAGAGTCGTCCGGTGCCTTACAACAGCTCCTGGCCCCCTTTTCAAGACCTCCCCCTTTCTTCCTCCATGACTCAAGCATCCAGCAGCAGTCGGCCAGACCGGGAGACCCGGGCCAGCGTCATCAAGAAAACATCGGATATCACCCAGGCCCGCGTCAAGAGCTGTTAAGCCTCTGACTCTCCCCGGTGATTGTTGGGGTTTCTTGGCTTTGTTTGTTGTTTGTTTGTATTTTTTTTTCTCTCTGACACCTATTTTAGACAAATCTAAGGGAAAAAGCCTTGACAATAGAACATTGATTGCTGTGTCCGACTCCAGCACTGGAGCTGCTTTTTAACTCAGGACTCCAGCCCCTTGGTAGACGTGTGTTTCTAGAGCCTGCTGGATCTCCCAGGGCTATCGCTCAAGTTCAAGGACCAACAAGGGCAGTGGAGGTGCCGCATTGCCCGCGGTCAAGGCCGGCAAGGTGGAGTGGATGCCTCAGAATGGACGAGATAATGTGAACTAGCTGGAATTTTTTATTCTTGTGAATATGTACATAGGGCAGCACGAGCGACATTGCAGTCTGCTTCTGCACCTTATCTTAAAGCACTTACAGATAGGCCTTCTTGTGATCTTGCTCTATTTCACAGCACATTCTCTGCCCATTACCCAGCCTCCCCTCCCCTCCCCTCCCCTTCCCTCCCCTTCCCTCCCCTCCCTTCCCATCCCCTCCCATCCCTTCCCATCCCTTCCCATCTCGCTCTTTTCCTACTTTTCCTTCCCTCAAAGCTTCCATTCCACATCCAGAGGAGAAGAAGGAAATGAACTTATCTACAGATGTCCCATTTTAAGACTGCTTAAAAAAAAATCCTTCTAATCTGCTATGCTTGAATGCCACGCGGTACAAAGGAAAAAGCTATCATGGAAATATTATGCAAATTCCCAGATTTGAAGACGAAAATACTCGAATTCTAACCAGAGCAAGCTTTTTTATTTTTTATACAGGGGAATATTTTATTCAAGGTAAAATTCTAAATAAAATATAATTGTTTTTTATCTTTTCTACAGCAAATTTATAATTTTAAGATTCCTTTTCTTGTTTATCAGCAGTTGTTATGACATCCTTGTGGCACATTTTTTTTTTAAATTTTGTAAAGGTGAAAAAAGCTTTTATGAGCTCATGTAGCAATCAGATTATCCTGTGGATTGATAATAAATGAATATGATATATAGTTAAATTTTTAATGGGCATCACTGCTGGCTTTGTCTGTGTCTGCTTTAAAAGAGCACAATCACGGAATAGGACTGACAAAGTATTGTTGCTTCTTGGGGACCAAAACGTTTTCCCTTGTGGACCACAAGAAACCCTGGAGGTTCCTACTGTGAGGCTGCAGATGGCGGCGTCTCCTGAGTGCTCGCCTGAGCAGGGCCTGTGCTGAGTGTTCTGCGTGAGTTCCCTTCTTCATTCATCACCGCAGTGCTATAGAACAGGCATTCACCTCCATCCCAGGTGGAGGAAGTGAAGACTCAATGTGAAGAGGCCTTGACTCGGCTCACAGAGGCACGAAGAAGCAAGGGCACAGGTTGAGCCCAGGTCTCTGTGCTGTGATGGGGTCTGTTTCTCTTGTAAGCATATGCAAACATCGGCCTTCCTTGGCTTGGGAGCATTCCCTATGGAGGAGGGAGTATTTTAGCCACTCCACTGTTTTCCTTCTCTGCTATGAGTAAGGTTCACCCCGCTCTGCGTCTTTCCTGCATTCGTCCTTAGGCTTACCCATACGACTGACGTTCTGTGTTTATGTCATGTAGAAGGGTGCGTGGATAAGACATTTTCCATAACAGGAAATATGTGTTGGGTTCCGATTCTATGTCCGTCACTCTTCTTTCTAGGACCCAAGGCCTTGCACATAGGCCCTGGAACCTCGAACCTGTCAAATGATTGGGCCGAGCAGCCAGAAAGTAGGGGACCCCTGCCCTCAAAACTTGGGGTCTGTCTTGTGGAATAAAAGAGGTGATTCCAAAAACACCAGTCTTTATCATCCGCTTGGTGTTGAACGCGTAGACTTGACCTTGGGAAAGCCGCAGCACTGACCTCCCCTGTGTCCCCGACATCCCATTCTGTCAAATCAGAATAGGAAAGCTGAGCTGCCCGCCTACCACCTCTGGGGCGTTGTGGAAGAGATTGCTAAGTTAATATTTGAAGAGGTTCCTGAATGAAAGGACAAAGAGATATTTTTATGCCTATCTCCATGTGTGGCTGCAGATAAAATTAACGGTCATAAAGTTATCCAGCCCTGAATGGAAATCAACTGAAGCATTTTCCTGTCGAAATGCGGCTCGCGGAGGCAGGGCTGCTCCTGGGAGGAGGGCTTCCTTGGCTGGCTGGCTCAGTTTCTTCCTGCAAGGGGAGTTACTGGGAGGAAAGGGGTGCTCCCTGGCTCCTTGGCACCCTGCTTCTCAGTTAAGACCTGCTCTTCCCCTAGGTCCTAAATGGAGGAGTTCAGTTCTTTGAGACTTCTATCTAAAACCTTTTACTGAGTCATCTGTTTTTAAATAAATTAACAAAGCAGTGACCGAAGGTCGCCCTGAGTCCATGGCCTGGTTATCAGAGGGTTTAACGCAGCTCAGGCCTCCTCCCATTTCCTTCCTCCCAGCGCAGACTCAGGGCTTCTTCCTGCATCTTCGTTCCCGCTGCCCTCCCCCGCTTCTGTAGGAGAACCAGACTTCTGGAACCCCATCAAGTGGAAGGAAATTCAGGATTTTGAAATGCACCATTTAAGTACCAGAGATGATATTCCATGGCTAATAAGGCCATGAAAAACAGAATCATGTTTAAGATACTTCTGAGAAAGCCTGTATTGTTTCTAAGCGATACTTGCCAGCAATGTGGGAAAACAAGCTAGTCTCAGGGTGCCTGTGCTTGACATGAGGAAGAAAACAAAGGTGATGGGGCAGCTCATGGACTCAAGTCTCTGACCTTGTTGTCACTTAGAGGAAGCGCCAGGGACACATGCTTTGGGTTGGTGTTTGTGTGAGCTGATATGTTCTTATGATGGGCTTGGGGCTGTGAGTGTGCACGTGTGCGTTTAATAGCAAGTTCAAGTTCAGTGTAACTGCCTTTGAAACAATCGTTTCCATTCTCTGCAGCCAGCACCTGGGTCACGCCCTTGATAACAGGCTCACTGCACAGCTGTGCACTGTAACTTCAGGGACAGGTACTTCTGCCCTGCCTTGAGGTTGCAAGCACCCAGCACATCCACACACCTTGACGAAAGGGGCTTCTGGAATGCCATTTGCATACCTAAATAAATCCACCCTCAACCGTACTGTTTTGTCCGTGTTTTGATGAACCACTGCCAAAGGCGGTAGTCTATTTAAAAGGATTTGTAAAAAAGAAGAGACATACATGGCTATGGAATACAAATTCTTTGGACATCAAAACCCTAAAACAATATCCTTCTCGCACCGAAATGCAAAGTGTACCATACTCTCATGTAACCACTCCTGAGACAGAGCTTTTAGAGGTGAAGAAGATGAGTGATTTGGTTTCAGGAGTCTGAGTTTTCGAACTTGTGCTTCTGGAAGTATTTCGCACTTGAATGAAAAGGTGGGAAGCCACAAACGGCCTCCTGCTCCTAATGCAGAGATGGAACATGAGATTTTCCTTCTCTTTGAGTCCACTCTGTAACCTTGAATTCATTAGGTTTTAAAACTCCCCTGGTACTGTAGCTTTGGACAAATAAGACCAGATAAAAGGTGAAAAAAAAGAACCCCACTATTCTACCAGATTTCTCTTGATAAAAGATGAGAGCTAGGGAAAGGTTTACACACAGGTAGCCAAGATGAGTTCCTGGCAATTCGGGGTCAAACAGCTAATGTGTGAGAGCCGGTGTCGGTTTGGAGGCAGAAACTGCTTTTAGGTGCTGCTGTTCAGCCGCCTACTTCACCCTGAAACTTCATCCTGGAGCATGCCTGGGGCCAGAGTGATCAGAGACTGTAGGATGTGACCCTGACGTCCCTCTGTCCCCAGGCTGCAGTGGACCCCTCCCAAGGGGATTCCAGTTGGGTGTTTCTGCCTCCCAGGACACTGTCAGCTTCTCGAGGCTGTTTCTCAATCTCATTTGCACCTCAACATGTGAATCAAGGTTGGGTACTACTAGGCTGTCATCCCGGGATCTCCTCCTCCCCTGAACCCCACCATCCTGGTGTCAAGAGAACAGGGCTGGGAACCTTGGCTTTGCCCCCTTAGGAGTGTGTCCAACCACAGGCCTGGAGAGGAGAGCCTGGCTGTGTGAATCTTCAGGTCAGGAGATGCAGGAAGTTGATAGGGGTCGTGGGACATGCTTTTTCCTGAGGCTGCCTGGCCTCTGGTCCCCACTGGCCCCACGGGACACTGGTACCATCCCCATTCTCTGGGCTTGGGCATCACTGGTCCTGCTGTGCAGACAAATGAGGGTTTTGTAGAGGTTTTCTTCTGGGGCCACATGAACAGCAGGTGCAGAGGCACTGTGTCTCTGCTTCTGAAAATAGGGCCTGGAAGGAAGGAAGTGGTCAGGACTAATAGCTGGTTTTAGCAAAAACGTGAAGTCTGTCCAAGAACCTGAGTTGTGCTGTGGAAGGTCCAAGACGTAGGACATTTCGGAGTTCACGTAGTCTGGAAAGAGCATGTTCTGGAATCTGACCAAGTTTCTGCAGCAGAGACGCGTGCGTGCTTCTGTTCCTGTAAGCACGCTGCCCTTCGGCGGTTTGGTCAGTTTCCCCACAGCTGCTTGATAAACACGTTCAGAGATTGCTGGTGCCGTGGTATGGTGTGTGCTGGGATTGTGCAACTGCTGCCCATTTTAACCCCTTACATGCGTGGCTGGAGAAACACCGATATCACGGGCAACAGCCTCTGTCACCAAAACAGTTAATTTTAAAGACACAACCGTTTTTTTGCAGGTGCAAGCAAATTCCAGGGCGATAGCATCTTTAAGTTTCACTTTTGGTTGAGAAGCACATTTTAAAACCAAAACACCCAAACATCTCTTCACGTGAATTATCAGGGAGAAGATACCCAAAACGTTCCAGCAGCTTGGATCATGTATCTGAGAATACCCTTATTCTCCAAATGTTCTCCAGTGTGCCAGCTCAAAGGCGCTGACATTTCGAAGCCACACATTGTACCGGAACTCACTGCCTGAAGATTCAGCATAACGCTAGCAGTGAGATGGGAGTGGGTTCCTTAACGGCAGGAAGGTGATGACTAAGGCTTTATTCATCCCCAGAATTAACACTGATCTCTATTCTCTGCAGAGAATAGAGATGAATCTTCCTGTCTCCCAAAGAGACTCCGCAGTGCTGTGAATCTAGAGCACATTTTTATGTTGCAGTATCTTTTCTCTGGGAAGCTCATGTTTTTAATGTCACTGAGCTGCGGAAAAGATGTCACACGCTCGGGTCTAAAATATTCAGGGTGCAAGCAACAGAAGTGTTAGTAAAAAACGTCAAAGGCAGCCCCACGCCGTTGCTTGCATTCTACCTGGTGGTTCCAGGGATCCAGGAGACCACTTTTATTTACAAAATTGATCTAAAGTAATGCAATTACACTGCCTTTCTCAGCAATGAACATACCTAATTAGGGTAACCGACCATCTTTGTTTGCCCAGAACCGAGGGGATTCTCGGGAAGTGGGACTTTTAGTGCTAAAACCAGGAAAGTCTCAGGCAAATGGGGAGGCGATGTCACCTAAATGTAATGCTGAGTTACACAGCACAAATGACATTTTGTGTTTTTGGAGGATTTTTAAAACCCAGGTAAATGTTTCATGAGGAGGTATTATTGAGGATAACACCTTATTGATGAGCCTATTAATGCATGAATTAAATGTGTTTTGTTAAGAAAAGTAGATTTTGTTCATTGAACCCTGTGTACTGAATTCCCGCTGTTTCCTAGTACTGTTCTAAACGTCAGAGTTGTTACGGAAGTGAAGGAAACAGAGTCTCTGTTCTAATGGAGCTGAAGAGCTAGTAAGGTGGATAGTCCACAAATAATAAAAATCATCTTTGGGCGACAATCAGTGCGATGAAGAGAAATGAAGCAGGATGTGACGTGATGACGATATTCAAGTCTTCCATTTTAGAGCATAAAGGATTGATTGCAGGGTTGGTGGCTGTGAAAACGGGCAGTTAGGGAAAGAAGGAAAATAGCATATGTCAGTGGGGCTCAGTCTCAGGAAACAAAAACCACGCCAGCTATTTTAAGCA